ATACCATGGACTGCTAAGAAAATGGGCAGGTTCATCCTGGAGCGGGTTAAACCAGCCTGCTCCTTAGAGGCAAAGATTCTGAAGCTTCGTCTGATATACTTTGGACATGCTGCAAGGAGGGGACCGGTCCTTGGAGAAGGATGTCATGCTTGGGAGGATAGAGGGACAGTACAGGAGAGGAAGAACCTCTATGAGGTGGATTGATTCAGTGACTGTTAATGGGAATAGGTGTGTTGGAGACAGTGAAATTGGCACAAGATAGAGCAAGGTTTAGGGTTGTTGTGCATAGGGTTACTATGAGTGGCAGGCATCTCGATGGCACACAACAACAACAACATTTGATCATTAATCTACTCATTCATTCATTTACTTGGGGTTTTGGTCACTCTCACCCTTTCTTTTATGGATTCATCCCCTCGCCCATTCATTCATCGCCTTACTCATTCATTCACTCATCCCCTCACCCGTTCACTCATCCCCTCACCCAGTCATTCATCCCCTCACCCATTCATTCATCCTCTCACCCATTCACTCATCCCCTCACCCATTCACTCATCCCCTCACCCATTCATTCATCCCCTCACCCATTCACTCATCCCCTCACCCATTCACTCATCCATCACCCATTCACTCATCCCCTCACCCGTTCATTCATCCCCTCACCCACTCATCCCCTCACTCATTCATTCATTCTCTCAACCATTCATTCATCCCCTCACTCATTCTCTCATCCCCTCACCCATTCACTCATCCTCTCAACCATTCATTCATCCCCTCACTCGTTCTCTCATCCCCTCACCCATTCATTCATTCATCCCCTCACCCGTTCACTCATCCCCTCACCCATTCATTCATCCCCTCACTCATTCATTCATTCATCCCCTCACGCATTCACTCATCCCCTCACCCGTTCACTCCTCCCCTCACCCATTCATTCTCTCACCGTGCAGACACACGGCAGAGTCTCTGCTTCACCCAGTTCCAGAGTGGAAAGTGCTCAATACCCAAAGCCTTCAACACAACCAAGGCCCGGTGCTGCTGCAGCAAGCGGCCTGGCGAGGGCTGGGGGACCCCCTGTGAACTGTGCCCTCAGGAGGGCAGTGGTAAGTGCCCTCATCAGAGCAGAGCTGACTGTGGTTCAGCTGGCTGCCCCTTCAGCTCTGTCCTCCCCATGGGAGCCGCCCTGACTCCTGAATATACCCTGTCCCCTCTTCATGGCTATTCCCAGTCCCTGACCACCACTCTACCCCTCCCTGTGTCCACCAGTGCTCCCCACCCCATGGCTGCCTCCAAACACTGACCACTATCCTGTCTGCTCCTGGTGGCTGCCCTTGGATCCTGACCACCACTCTGTCCCCTCCCTGTATCCATAAATGTTCATGTCCAGGCTGCCCCCAACCCCTAACCACCACTCGGTTCCTTCCCAGTATCCACCAGGTCTCCCCTCCCAATGGCTGTCCCTGGCCCTTGACAACCACCCTGTCCCCTCTCTGTGCCCACTGGTGTTCCCCTCCCCATGACTGCCTCTGACCCCCAACTACCACCCTGTCCCCTCCCTGTGTCCACCAGTGCTCTGCTTTGCCATGGCTGCCCCTGGCCACGACTCTGTCCTCTCCCTGTTTCCACTACCCTCCTGGCTGCCCTGACCCCTGACCACTGCCCTGTGTCCACGCCCCTCTGGGATGCCCCTGGCCCCTAACCACCACCCTGTCCCCTCCCTGTGTCCAGCTGCCTTCCAGGAGCTGTGCCCCTTTGGCCATGGGGCAGTGCCTGGCCTGGATGCCTCTCGAGAAGGTGAGCCCCTCACTAAGACAGAGCCCCCTGGACTACCATGTCCTGTCCTTACCCACTCTGCCAGTGTCTCTAAGTCCCAGGAACCCTCCGGGACCAATGGGTCGCTCTCAGGGCTGTCCCAGATCCCACTGCCTTGGGGCCTGGACCTCGTTCCCCAAGAAGAAAGAGGACAGACCCTTGCATGTGACAGACGTCCACCCTGCCTGCATCCCACGGCCCCCACAGACGTGAACGAGTGTGTGGAGAGCCCCAGCATCTGTGCTAATGGCCTCTGCGTGAACACCGATGGCTCCTTCCGCTGCGAGTGTCCCTTTGGCTACAGCCTGGACTTCATGGGCATCAGCTGTGTGGGTGAGTGGGCACGCCCAGCCTCTGTGGGCCAGGAGGAGCAGGGGACAGCAGAGAGGGGCACAGGAGAGCAGCCAGGAAGAAGCAGGGCCTTCCCTCACCCACACATCCTCTCACCCATGCGTTCTTTCACTCACTCACCCCTTCTTTCCCTCATTCATTCACTTGCTCATTTGTGACTTCTCGGGTTCATCCATTCACACATAATTGACTGCTTCGCTCATTCTCTCATTCATTCATCCATTCATTTACTAGACCCACTGATTCATTCATTCATCCTTCACCTAGGACTCATTCATGCTTACACTCACATATTCGCTCCTTTCCTCACTCTGAACTCACTCATCTCATTCATTCATTCACTTCTTCCCTAATTGATCCAAGGGCCTCTGGTGGCTTAGTGAGTGGTAAGGAGTTGTACTGCCAACCCAGCGGCACATAGTTTGAATCCACTAGCCACTCTGTAGGAGGAAGATGGTTGGTCTCCTCCCATAGGACTTCTTGTTGTTGTTGTTGTTGAGTGCCATCAAGTTGTAGGTGACTCATAGTGAACCTATGAACACAAGTCCTCTACACTTGTGTGCGTGACTTTCATCCTCTCTCCAGGTTCATAGCGTTTCTGGAGGCAAGCTATTTCGGAAGTGGATGCCACTCCTGCTTCCAAGCTTGTTTTAATCAGGGATCTCCACTGTCCGCCATGGATAACCGTTATCACATTTGACTCATCGGTGTCACAGTGTTCAGCTTCATAGCAACCACGAGTTACCTCTGTACAGCAAGTGGACACACCAGCACTATATGACCTACAAGAATGTTTGACCAAAAACAATTAAAAACCGGCCAGAGAGCCAGGATTATAGTCACCCACCTTTGGCTCGGTAGCAGCACTTTCAGTCCACTAGCCCAACTGGTCTCTCTCTAGGTTGTTAAGTGCTGTCAAGTTGTAGGCGGCTCATAGCGACCCTGTGAATGAAAGTCCTCAACACTTGTGTGACTTTTTTCCTTTCTCCAGGTTCATAAGACTTACTGCCTCTGAAAACCCGCTGGAGGGTCAGGTTCTGACTCGACAGTATACAACAACAACCAATTCATCTATTCGCTCCTTTGCTCACACATTGATTGATTCCTCGGTCAGTCAATTGATTGGTTGCTGACTCGTTCATTCACTCACTCACTGTACACACACTTAATCATTTTATTGACCATGTGCTATGTGCCTGCCCTACCCTTACCCAGCCTAGGGGTGGCGTAGCCCCACCCCAGTCCAGTCTGCAGCATCAGGGGGAGATGAACAAGGTAGTCGAGAGGAAGGGCGCTCTGCAGGCACTGACCACCCCCAACCTGACCCCAGACACAGACGAGTGTTCCATCGGGCAGCCCTGTGGGGAAGGCACCTGCACCAATGTCATCGGAGGCTTCGAATGTGCCTGCGCTGACGGCTTTGAGCCCGGCCCCATGGCGACCTGCGAGGGTATGGCCTGCCTGCCTCGGCCTGTGCTGGGTGCCGAGGGAGATGGGGGTTATCTGGGGGCAGAAGGGGGTTCCCACAGCCAGATCCTGCCCAGCTGGCACCTCCACTGGCCTTCCTAGACATCGACGAATGTGCCTTGAACCCCCTGCTCTGTGCCTTCCGCTGCTACAACACTGAGGGCTCCTATGTGTGTGCTTGTCCGGCGGGCTATGCCCTGCGAGAAGACGGGGCCATGTGCCGAGGTGGGTGGCTGGTGGGCACGCGGTGGGCTGGGCCCAACCTGGGCTTCCCTTTTCCACATGTCAGCTTCACAGACCAGGGTGACCTGAGCCCCTTCACTTCCCACCTGTGACTGGGGCCTAGGCCTGGGAGTGGGAGGATGGATGGGGTATTAGGGGTGAGGCACTGTGGATGGAAGATTGAGGGATGGGGGAGATGGAGAGTTGGGAGGTGGATGAGATTGGGAGGGTGTATAGGGGGCGTATGGGGGATGGGTGAAAGGCTGGGGGTGGATGAAGGTGAGGGAGTGGATGGAGGTTTGGGGGGTGGATGAGCGGTAGAGATAGGGTTGGGAGTAGATGGGGTGGGCGTAGCTGGAAGGTTGAAAAGTAGGTAGAGGTGGGGGGAGGATGGAGAGGTGGATGGGAGTAGGGGATGGGTGGAAGCTGGAGGGTAGATGGGGATGGATGGAGGAGTGAATGATAGTAGGGGGTTGGATGGGGGTTGGGAGGTGCATGAGGGTGGGAGTGGATGGGGTGGGAGAGGATGGAGACATGGATGGGAGTTGGAGGGTAGATGGGGATGGATGGAGGGGTGAATGGTAGTGGGGGCTTGGATGGAGGGTTGAGAGATGGATGAAGGTGGAAGTGGATGGGGTGGGGGAGGATGGAGACGTGGATGGGAGTAGGGGATGGATGGAAGTTGGAAGGTAGATGGGCATGGATGGAGGGGAGAATGGTAGTGGGGGGTTGGATGGGGGTTGGGAGGTGGATGAGGGTGGGGGTGGATGGGGTGGGGGAGGATGGAGACGTGTATGGGAGTAGGGGATGGATGGGAGTTGGAGGGTAGATGGGGTGGGGGAGGGGTACATGGGGTGGGAGGTGGATGGGGAGTGGATGGCTGGCGGCCTCCTTCCCAGGTGGGCTCCAGGTCCCTTATCCCAGCTGCCATTCACCCTGGGTTGTCGGCAGACGTGGACGAGTGTGCCGACGGCCAGCAGGACTGCCAGGCCCGTGGCATGGTGTGCAAGAACCTCATCGGCACCTTTGCGTGTATCTGCCCACTGGGCATGCGATCCCGGCCAGGCTCTGAGGATGGATGTGCAGGTACAGCCCAGGATGGGGCTCCAGGGGTGTAGGATCCCTGCGGAATGAGGAGGCCAGGGTAAAGGGGCCAAGGGACAGACCCAAGGAGGCCCTTCCAGGGGTCCCACCCCCATCTGTTACCCTCCCCAGACGAGGATGAATGCCTCGCCCAGCCGGGGCTCTGTGCACATGGCCGCTGCATTAACACCATGGGGAGCTTCCGCTGTGACTGTGATGATGGCTTCCAGTCCAGCCCCTCACTCACCGAGTGCCTGGGTGAGTGCATCCAGAGGCCTGGGGGTGCTGACCCCATCAGGACACTGTCCCCCGACTTCGCATTCTTCCTTCAGTTAAACCTGATCAGAGCTGACCATGCACCCTGCCTGACTCCCACAACTCCCCACTTCCTGGGGTCTAAACTTGTGGACACTGTGGGGAGCTTTTATATGTTTACCATACACCCCAACAACTGTCCTCACCAGCATCCACTTTCTCCCAACCCAATGTGGCTTCTAGCCCTGTAGTTGTAGCCACCATTTCTGCACCCAGATCTGTGTATTGGGCTGCCTCCTGGACGCTCCAGCCCCTGGGTGCAGCCCACCCCAAAGCAAGCTCAGCATGGGCCCCGGAAACCCCCAGATATCTACCAGCCAGCCTGCCATGGTCTCTGTGACCTCCTCAACCTGCCTCAAAGTCCAGGCTCCAGTCTCCCACACACCACTCCTCACTGCCACCATGGCCCCTGGACCATCCTGGGCACTGCCACCTGTGGTCCACTCCCCAGTGTCCCCCAGCTCCCATGATGCCCTGGGCCACCTCTCCTCTCTGGGTCTGAGGTCAGCCATGGTTTGTCCTGGAGAAGATGTCAGCCTCTGTGCCCAGGCATTGCTTGGGCCTCACCTGAAGTCTGTGACTCTTGCTGTGTCCCCAGCCCACAGAAGGCATTAGCAGTGTCAGGCACATGGTGACCCCTCCCTGTGCACACACACAGAGGCATGTCCGTGACATCTGAGAGCCCACAGGCATGGGTGCCCAATGGCACCATCCTCACACTCCATCACCGTCTCCCCATTCTCTGCAGACACCCGACGTGGCCCCTGCTTCTCTGAGGTGCTGCAGGCAGTGTGCCAGGTGCCATCGAGCAACGGCGAGGCAGTCAACAGGACAGAGTGCTGCTGCACGGGGGGCCGTGCCTGGGGACCCCACTGTGAGCTCTGCCCCCTGCCTGGCACCTCCGCCTACAGGAAGCTGTGTCCTCATGGCTCAGGCTACACCGCCGAGGGCAGAGGTAGGTGTCCACTCGCACCCTGGAGCTGAGGGTGGGAGAGTTGGGCCATCTATGCTCTTGTGGGCGTTAGTGTGCAAGACTATAGGTGTGTGTGCACACCCATGGGGGTGGGAACTAGTACGCATGCTCTGTATGTCTGTACATCCTTAGGAGTGAGCATGTGGCCGACTATAGCAGGTGCGTGAGCAATGGATGTGTGTCCTGTGTCTTAGTGTGAGTGTGTGTGTGTAAATATGGCTGCATGTGAGGCAGCGTGTGTTCAGTGAGCTTGTGAATCAGTGTGTCTGTACTGGCGGGCACGTGAAGGTGTGTGAACTGATGTGTTCTCTGAGGTTAATGCACACGTCTGTGTGCTAGTGAGTGTGTGAAGTGAAGGACCTGGTGTGTTCTCTGCACATGTGTATTTACTGCATATGCGCTTGTGTGTGAACACCTGCGCTCGTGTGAGGTCCCCGTGTGCAAGCCTGTTGGTGCGCTTGTGTTAATGTAAAAACACAACTTAGCATGTTGCATGAGTTTGTTAATGAGTGCGTGAAAATATGAGAGTTGTTTGTGCCCTCTGTGAACTTGTTAATAATCTTTATGTCTGTGTGTTACCAAGTGTGTGTGAGTGTACAACCCACTGTGTCTCCTCCGTGTGAAAACTCTTTAATGAATGTGTTAGGGAGCATGTGAAAGTGTGTGAGTGGGTGTGTTTTCTGTGAACCAGTATGGAAAGAGTTGTGATGGCTTCATACATAGAGTTGTCCTGTCAATCAGTCTTGAAGCCCAAATGTACAACTATCATCAAATGGATTGAGAAATGTGGTATATCCACACAATGCACTCAGAAGCAATGATTTTGGAAATTACTACATAACTTTGGAGGGACAGGAGATCATTATTCAGTCCCATAAGATCAAATACTGTAGAAGATCATTATTGTAGAAATAGAAAGACAACTAATAAAACATGCATGAGGATCCTAGGTGAGGAGTGTAGGAGCAGAGGGGTGAGAATGAGCAGGGGGAAAATCTTAGGGTTGCACAATTTGAGGGATGGAGGGAGGGGTGGGTAAAGGAAAGGAGAAAGATCCAGCGGGGATCTGGAAAGACAGGGCACTGGTAGGTATAGTCAGTGTTGATTAATTTTATAAAATACAATGAATTCTTATGATTGTATCAAGCTGTGAACAAAGGATAATGTGAAACACAAGGTATGCAAACTTCGTAAGCAAACCAATATAAGATAAAATAAAATTTTTAAAAACACAACAGAAAGCAAAGGTATTCCGTTTGAATCCACCAGTTACTTTGCAGGAGGAAGATGGTGAGATTCCTTCTGTGCCATTTACAGACTCTGAAAACCTGCTGGAGGATCAGCTATAAGTATATTCTGCCTTGATGAAGCACAGCGACAATAACAACAGTGTGTGCAAGCGTGCTTTAATGAGGATGGGTCAGATGCCAAGTGTGTGTGTGGTGCATGTTCCGTGTATAAACGTAGTAGTGAGTACGTGTCTGTGTACTGTCCTTGTGAGGGAGTGTGTACTCCGTGTGTGAGCATGTTAGTGAATGTGTGTCTCTCAGCTGAGTGTGTGCTAAGTGTGTGAGCTTGTCAGCTTGGGTAAACGAGCTTATGAATGTGTTATCTATGAACAGTGTGTGAGGGGTGTATGTTGTGTGTGTCTATGCAAGCTTGGTGAATGTGTGTGTCTGTGCTGACGGTGTGCAAGCTTGTTGAGTGTGTGAGTAGTGTGTGCTCTATGTGTGTGTGTGTGAGATAGAGAGCTTGTTAATATGTGAATGTGTATTGAGGGTGTGCATGGTGTGTGACCTGCATGTGTGTACAAGCTCAGGGCTGTGTCTCATCGAGTGTGGCACTGAGGGGGAGGTGGGCATCCCAGTGAGCAGTAGGGACATCACTGGGGGTAGGAAGGGTGTGCCATGCAAAGTGTGGGTCCATGGATCAGAGCGCTGTGAGCGTGTATGTCCCTGTGACTCCGCAGGCACTTCTGATCGTGTGGCTCGCATGTCCCTGTCTGTACTTCCATGAGTGTGTCATGCCCTGGGGCATGGTGGCTGCTGAGATGACGGGGTGGGCATGTGTTTCTCTCTCTCCCTCTTGCTACAATGGCTCAGCTGCCCCTGGGCAGAAAGCTGATGGATAGAAGGGAGGAGGCAGCTTAGGTGGCCTCAGGTAGCCAAGAGGCTGATCCCAGCTGACCCTGCCTGTCCCTTAGACGTGGACGAGTGTCACGTGCTGGCCCGCCTCTGTCCCCATGGCGAGTGCATCAACAGCCTCGGCTCCTATCACTGCCACTGCCAGGCCGGGTATGTGCCAGACACAGCCTCTACCGCCTGCCTCGGTGAGTCCAAACCCGTGCCCTATGGCAAGCCACGCCCCCTGCACAGGCCCCGCCCCGCGTCCAAACCACGCCCATCATCAGGCCCCGCCCAGCAGCTCCACACCTTCCAGACAGCCAGGCTTAGTTTTCCCTTAGAAGTTTCTGGATCATATAAACGTTCAACACTATCAGCTGCTAACTGAGCAGTTAGTGATTGACCCCTACAAAGAGGCCCCTTGGAAGAAAGGCCTGGCAATCTGCTTCTAAGTGATCAGTCACTGGAGACTCTAAGGAGCAGTTGTGCTCTTAACACCCACGAGGTTACCACCTGTGTCAGAATGGACACGTCTCCTGGCTTTGGCTTTGGCTTTGGCTTTGCTCTTCATTCACCAAGTGGTGGCCTCTCCATAAGGAAACGGAGGGGTCAGAGACAAGAAGCGGAGGGCCCTGCTCCTGGCTCCCTGCCCAACTGTGCTGTTTGCCTCCTGTTATTTTTGTACCATCCTAAGAATGACACCTACACTGTGGGAAGACAGCTGGCATGGGGTGTACGGCATGGCGCCCCATTCATGTCAGAGCAAAGCAGTGTGCCGTGAGTTTTCCGTGGCTGACTTTTTGGAAGCGGATGGACAGGCCTTGCTCCCAGGTCACCTCTGGGTGGATGCTAATCTTCAGTTAGTTGCTCAGCAGGCCGAGTGCGTTAACCTTTTATGCCACCCAAGAACTTCTACATCGTGTAACAGGAGGGCATTCGTCTAAGTCAAAGGACCATAAATAGAACCCAGGGGCCATGTTTGTAAATAAAGTTTTATTGGCACTCAGATACATTCATTCTTTGCCATATTGTCTATGGCACTGCAACAGCAGAATTAGGTAGTTCTAATAGAACCAATACCTCACGAAGGGGGAAATATTTACTTTTTCTTTGCAAAAGGGATTTGCCAGTCCCTGGTATAGGTCCACAGCTGCAGGACGGCCAATGTCTGGGTGATCCTGGTCCCTGTGTGTCCTCAGGGTGCGTCCATCTGACCCCCCACACACTCTGCTGTACCCTCTAGATGTGGATGAGTGCAGCCAGACCCCTAAGCCCTGTAGCTCCCTCTGCAAAAACACAGCAGGCAGCTTCCTGTGCGCCTGCCCCCGCGGCTACCTGCTGGAAGAGGACGGCAGAACTTGCAAAGGTGATGCGTCCCCTATGCCCCCAAAGGCCCAGTCCCTGCCCCACAGGGCTCTCCTGCCCCACGCCCGCTTGCATGGAGGCACTCTAGGAATCGAGTGTCACCGCTGTCCAGAGGTGGCAAGAGTGGCCCCAGGAGGCCCCCAGCCCAGACTTGAGCCTGCAGGCCCGTCTGTGCCGCAGACCTGGACGAGTGCTCCTCCAAGCAGCACAACTGCCAGTTCCTGTGTGTCAACACCGTGGGCACCTTCACCTGCCGCTGCCCTCCTGGCTTCACCCAGCACCACCAGGCCTGCTTTGGTGAGTGTTCTGAGCCCAGCCACTGGCCCACAATGCAGGGTCCCTCGACAGATATGCCCTGTGAGTGCCGCAGGCAGGGGACATGGGTGGTTGGACAGAGTCCTTGCCTTTGCAGCACTCAGCCTGGTGGCATCTAGCACCTTAGTATCTCGGTTCTTTACTGCTGCCCCAAAGATTATGCCTCTTTGGTGGCTTCATGGGAGAAAGATAGCCAGTCTTCTCCTGTGCAACTTGCAGCCTTTGAAAACACAACTAAGTTGCAAAGAGTTGAGTTCTATCAGAGACAACCTCAAGTGGGTGACTTTAACAAACAGAAATTGAATCACTCACAGTTTTGTAAGCTGGAAGTCCGAATTCAGGGCACCAGTTCTAGGAAAGGATTTCTGTCTGTATCAGCTCTGGGGAAAGGTCCTCGTCATCATTCTCCCCCGCCCCCTCAGTTCTAGGAGGTTCTCAGCACAGGGACCCCAGATCCAGAGGACAGGCTCCTCTCCTGGCTCATCTTTCTCAGTGACCAGAGGTCCTTTCCCATCTCTGCTTTCTTATTTATTCTGTTTTTCTATCTCAACAGATTGATTCAAGATAAAACCTAGTCATATAGACTGTATTCTATCTTAGTAATGTAACTGCCTTGAATCCTGCCTCATTAACATTGTAGAGGTGAGGGCTTAGAACACACAGGATAGTTATTTCAAATCACAGAAGGGATATAATACTGAGAATCATGGCCCAGCCGAATTGACACATATTTGGAGTTTTTGTTGTTTGCTCTCAAGTCAGAACTAACTCATAGCTGACCTTCCAGTGGGTTTTCAGAGACAGTTAATTGCACAGAAGGAGAATGCCCATCTTTTCCCCTAAGACTAACTAGTAGATTCGAACTCTGTGCCTTTGGGTTGATAGAAAAACTCCTTACCCACTAGGCCACCAGAATTCCTATATTTGGGGGAGGAAGGAGTCACAATTAAATTCTTAACATCTGGAAATTGCTCCAAGGAACTAGGAGGCACATTCTCCAGGAGTGCTCTGACCTTAGCCCAGAACACCTGTCCTCACCTGTGCCCAGTTTTTGTGCTTAGGCCTTCCCTACAGTGCTTAAAAAGCTCAGGTGCTCATCTAGTCTGAAGAGGAAGTTGGTTCTAAAATCAATCAATCCAGCCAATCCACTGTCACCCCCACAGCTCCTAAGTGTCTCATGACTCAGGGAAACTGACCTCTCCCAAGCACTGAGCTCAGCCTTCTCCAGGGTTCTATTAACATATCAAGCACCTACTATGTACCATACACTGCTCTAGATCATGCAAAGGCAATCCCAGCCTCTGGGCCAAGCCTGGCCCCCTCTTTGCTTTTGTTAATAAAGTTTTATTGGCACATAGGCACATTGATTTGCTTACATACCGTCTGTGACTATCCCATAACAGCAGAATTGTTTTATTGCTGCAGAGACCCACAAATAAAAAGTGTTTACTGGTTGGCCCTTCACAGGTTTGCTGCTCTGCATTCTGAACTATCATGACCAAGAGAGTCCTTTCCAGAATGACATTCAATATGTTCTGACAAAAATACAGGGAGGCGGGTTTCTCAAAAAGTTAAGCAGGATTATCCCATGACTCAGTAATTCCACTCTTAGCTCTGCACCTCAAACACTTGAAAGCAGGGACTCACACAGACACATGTTCATTGCAGTAATATTCACACCCACCTGAATGGGAGAGCAAGCCACACATCTCGTCAGCAATGAGTGGCCTTGTGTACTGTGGTCCATCCCTATGATGGATTGCCCCTCAGCCAGGAAGAACTGTGGAGTCCTGTTACCTGCATCACTCAGATGAACCTGGAAAGCACTGTGCTCACTACAGAAAGTCAGACACAAAAAAGCAAGCATTGTATGATGCTATTTGTATGAAGCCCCTAACATGAGCACGTGTGTCGAGTCAGAAAGTGAATAGTGGTCACAGAGAACAAGGACAGGAAGAAGAAGAAAAAAAGAGTTCCTAAGGGGGTTGCTCTGGGGGCCTACACCAAGGGAGTTGCCCTTCTAACCCAAAGGTGGTGTGCCCCTGGCGTTCAAGTCCACTGGCAGCTCTGTGGGAGAAAGATGGACAGTCTCCTCCCAGGCAGTTTACAGCCTCTCAAAACCCTTTGGAGGGTCAGCTGTAGGTTGGTTTTGACTCAACAATAATGAGTGGAGGGTCAATAATGGGCACAGGGTTTCTGAGTGGGGTGATGGGAAGGTTTCTGAAGCAAATTGTGGTGGTGGTGGCACAATAATTTGAGTTTGGTTGATGCCCGTGGCTGACACACTTGAAAATGGTTACAGTGGCACAATTTCTGTTGTGTGCATTATACTACAATTAAGAAAAAACAATGGGGTAGGTGTTATTATATCCGTGTTCTGTTGTTACAGCTGAGGAAACAGAGGCAACGAGAGGATGAGTTAAGTCCCCCAGGATCACCCAGCTTTTTTGTGTTGGAGCTGGGAGTCACACCAAGGCGCTCTGGCTTCGGAGCCCATGTTTGTAACCAATTCTGTTATTCTGCTGCCTCCTGTATAAAAACAAACTCATTACCGTCAGTCAGTCCCTGCTCAAGGAGACCCCATGTGTCACAGACTAGAATCCCTTCACAAGGTTCTCTTGGCTGGTGTCATTCTGAAAGTAGTTAGCCAGGACTTTCTTCCTCAGCACTGCTGGCATGGGTCCCAATCTTTAGAGTAGCAGCTAGACACAAACTGCGCCACCAAGTAAGTCTTTTGTGTGCATTCTCTCTAAAAATGTTGACCCCAGTGTGAAATGCCCATCATGAATCCCCTTTCACTGATGAAAACACTGAGGCATAGAGAGATTAAAGGAGCAACTCAGTGGATCCAGTGGTACAACCAGAATTAGGGTGTCATAACCACCAAGCTTCCCTGCCTGTCTCTGTCCCCTGCAGACAATGACAAAGGCTTGGCCCAGCCTGGCCTCTGTGGCACCCTTGCACATTGCCACAATGCCCCTGGCAGCTTCCACTGTGACTGCTATAGAGGTTTCACCCTGGACAGCTCTGGCCGGGGCTGTGAAGGCAGCACTGGTCTGTGGGAGGGTTCCCGAGGGCCTGGGGAGGGAGCCAACGAGTAGGAAATCAGGGCTGCACAGCAAGACTGACCAGCTGCGCTTCTCAGGGCACAGACTGGAAGTGCTCTATTGAGAAAGATCATGAGATCAAGCCTCTGAGCTTTGGAGAAGAGTGCTACGCTTGATTAGTGATGTCTGCCATGGGTACAGCAATGGACTGAGTAGGCTTTTTTGCCAACATGGCCCTCTCTCCATCCCACAGACATAGATGAGTGTGACGGGCCACACCAATGCCAACATGGATGCCAGAACGAGCTAGGAGGCTACCGCTGCAACTGCCCCCAGGGCTTCACCCAGCACTCACAGTGGGACCAGTGTGTGGGTGAGTGGCTGGGAGGAAGTTGGGGGGCCCTTGGCAGAATCCTCCCAGAGCCAAGACCTAGAAACTTTCCCTCTGCAGGATTGGGTCCTAAGCACAGCTCTCTGCCCTGGGAGGTAGTGAGCTCCCCATCACTGGGAAGGCAGGGGTGTCTGAAGGGGTTGGGGGACACAGTCTGGGGGTCGGGCACTGGACGTATGCATCCCTGACCTCTCCCCCCACTGCAGATGAGAACGAGTGTGCACATGAGACCTCGGCCTGCGGGAGCGCCTCCTGCCACAACACGCTGGGCGGCTTCCGCTGTGTCTGCCCGGCCGGCTTCCACTTCAGCCGGGCGTTGGGCGGGTGCCAGGATGTGGATGAGTGCGCGCGGCGGGGTGACCCCTGCAGCTTCGGCTGTGCCAACACCCCTGGCGGCTTCCTCTGTGGCTGCCCCCGAGGCTACTTCCGGGCTGGGCAGGGGTGAGAGATGCAGGTGAAGCAGGCAGACCTTCCAGGTGGCACGATGTATGCACACCTCCAGCCCTCCGTCAGCCCCTGCCTGCACACACAGGTGTGCACACACGGACCCTGCTAACTATGCACACAGGGTTAACGCACCCCTGACGGTGTGATTATCCTCCTGTAGCGCATGAATGGGTGCACACGTCCCTGTGGCACACCTGCATCCCAGGTACACCCATGTGCACACCTTCACCTAGGCGTGCGTGCTGGCTCACGTGTACACAGAACTGGGTACACTCGTGTGCCATGTGCACGTGCTCACACGTCATCTGCCCATGTGCACGTGGCCTTGCACCTGTTGCACATCTCTGAGCACACTCATGTGTCTCACGTGCATCCAGAGTGCACACAACCACGCATGAACCATCATTCCTTTGGGTGCGTGGGCCCACAGCCTCAGGTATGCTGATGACAGCCAGATGTACACAGACATGTGTTCATGGCCCCCCACATGCGGCCAGGCTCTCACAGGGTGCAGGAACTGGTGGGTGGAGGGCTGACCTGGGAGACGCACCCAGGGAGCCCCTGACAGCCAGCCCATCCCTCCCTCCCTAGGCACTGTGTCTCAGGTCTGGGCTTGAGCTCCACACTCCATGATGCCTCAGACGAGGAGCCCTTGTCACCTGAAGGCTGCTACGAGTGCAGGATCAACAGCCTGGCCCCACAGGACCGGCCACGACGCAGTGCCCACAGGGACCACGAGGTGTGTAAGGGCGGGGCTAGGACAGCCAGAGGCAGCAGGCCAGGGGACAGGGAGGAGGAGGCTGGGACCTCTCTGGCCCAGGCTACTTCCGAGCTGTCCTGGCCTCCATGATCCAGGACTGTTTCCTGTGTCCTGGTTCCTGCCCACACCTCCTGCATCTTCTCAGCCCCAGGACCTCCCTGGATACCCTACCTTCCACTCCCCTGTCTCACACACACCCCCAGACTCCAGATGTGTGCTGATGCACCAATGGAAGCTTTCATGATCCTCTGATGGCCTGGCTGTACCCCAGGACCTTCTCCCTCTCCTGGCTAGCAGCAGACTCCCCCCACCCCCCATGACCAGCCTGGTGATGAGGGACATATGCACCACCAGGGCCAGAGCAGCTGGCCATGCCACCTCTTGAGTTCTGTCCCCATCCTTGGATCTTGTCTTCACTTCCACAGTTCTCCACCCGTCCCACCTCTCTGGAGATTGTCTCCCATCATACCCTGTGGCAAGGAGCCCTGCTGGCTCAAGAACTAAGAACTCAGATGCTAACCACAAAGGTGGTGGTTCAGATTCACTGAGTGGTGCTGCATAAGCAAGGCCTGGTGATCTGTTTCTGAAAGATCACAAACTTGAAAACTCCATAAGACTGTTCTACTCTGCCTGTGTGAGTTGGAATCTACTCCATGGCAAACAAGAACAAGCCGCTCTGTGCAGCCCGTGGCCCTTCAGACAAATATCTAGCACCAAGATCAGTTGCAGCCTGCAGCCTTGGCCTGCCTTGAAGACAAGAGCCCTTCCTCTGGTGGTTTCCCTTAGAAAACATACAGCAACTTGCATGTCCACCCACCATTTCCTCTGCACCCCTTTCCTGTACCCATGGAACTCTGGGGGCTGAGCCAAAGCTGCCTTTTCTCTAGAACCGAGAAGTACCCTCCCGATGGCCCCAGTTCCGCCTAGTGGAGTACGCTGGGCTCAGTCACACCTGCCCCCTCTGTCTATTCTAACAGGCACTCTCAGCCTCTACCCTCAGGGGCTGCAGGGCAGGTGTGTTTACCACAAATCCAGCCTACCTTCCTCTTGGCCAAAGAGCCCCTGGTGCCACCACCACTATCACCTAGCTGAATGGTTAGCAATTAACATTCAGCTAAGCACTTGGCATCTGCAATCTCTCTACTGTTAGAGTGGCCCTGGGAGGTGCTGGGGGCAGTCAGTCCCAGCACAGTCCTTGGGAGGCAATAGGGTTTTCATGGCTGACTTTCAGAAGGACATAGTTGTTGTGGTTCTGGTTCTTGTTATGTGCCATCGCGTTGCTTGCAACTCATAGCGACCCCATGTACAACAGCCCTAAACCCTGCTCTGTCCTGTGCCAATCGCATTGCCTCTGACACTCCCATCCCGATTACCCCAGTCACTGAATTAATCCACCTTATAGAGGGTCTTCCCCTCCTGTGCTGTGAGGGACACTTCATCTGACATACCTTGGGCGTGTTGCAAGGAGGGGTCAGACCTTAAAGAGGGACATCATGCTTGGAACAGTGGAGGGACAGCACAAGAAAGGAAGACACTGGATGAGAGAGATTGACTCAGTGACTGGGGCAACAGGAGTAGGTGCGTCAGAGACAATAATGTTGGCTCAAGGTGGAGCAAGGTTCAGAGCTGTTGTACATAGGGTCACTATCAGCTGTAAGTTACTTGACCATACATAACAACAAGAGTGAATGGAGTGCTCGCATCGGCAGCACATATGCTAAAATTGGAACGATACAGAGGAAATTGGCATAGCCCCTGCACAAAGATGATATGCAAATTAAAGAGTGAATGGAATGGTTATCAGGGATGACTATATCACGGCCTTTGCCTGCAATAACCACTAGTTGCCACCAGATGTCAGTAAGACCATACATGTGAGCAGCACCCATCCTTCCCCCCGCCCCCCCAACCACACACACACAACCAGCCCCCAGCTAAGAACTAAGAACAGGAATAGCTTTCACAGTAATGCAATAGTGAAACACTCCATTGGCATGTAAATTAGGCAAAATAAAACACAGCCGTGCCCAGAGGAAAAGGAGATGAAAACATAAATAAATCCCTGTGTGATTGTCTGCGCCACTCAGCCCTGGGAGCCTTGCCACTGGGGCTCATTCAGAGCCCTGTCCAGCTGCCAGGGCCAGGAAGGCGCTCAGATAAAGAGGGGTTTGTCATCTGCACACAGAGGCCTCTCAAGGGGCCCAGATCAGGAAGTCCAGCGGCTTCCCAGGAACCGGAAAGCTGTTGGGTGCCTCTTCTATCCGGGCTCCGTCCCTCCCTCCCTCTCTGAGCAGCCCTGCAGTTTGCTCTGGGGCAGGTCCCCACTTGCGAGGGCTGTACTCATAACACCACCTCCTCAGTGCCTCTGACCCGAGGGCTTGGGACCCGACACCATGTGACTGGCCAGCCCCCACCTGCACCTCTAAGGCCAAAACCCTGGTCACCTTGCCCCAGGCCAGCAGGGTCAGACTGAGCTATGTCCACTCAGGGGTTCAGAATCAGTAATGTCACCTTTGGCACGGGGAGGAAAGGTGTGAATTCTCACCAGGGTCCGGCCTTGGCCTTTGTGCCTCTGTAAGACTGACCAATGGCCTTGCCTGGAGGGAGCAACGGGAAGCCGAGGGCAGAGCTGTGCCAAACATTTTTATCCTCCACTTGAAAACAAATCCCAAAACAGTCCCCATCAAGAGGGCTGCAGCTCGTGGTGACTCAGGAGTGTCAACAGAACGGCGGTCCTCGGGGTTCTCAGGTGACTGATCTGGGGGACCAGACCTTCAGGCCTTTTTTGGAGTCACCTTTTAAAGACTCAGGCCTCCACTTAACTGGTTAACAGCCAAGTGCATTCACATCACTCAAGGTCATGAGCTAATATATAGAATTCATGTTTCTTTTTTAAAAAAAAAATTTATTATTTTTTTGTGTGAGTGTACCGTCAAATCAGATCTGACTGGTACAGGAGGAGATTGTCCCTCCTTCCCCGGCAGAGCATCTGGTGGATTCGAACCGAGCGCCTCTGGGATTGTAGTTGCAGCTCCTTGCCACTAGGCCACCAGAGCTCCCCTAGAGTTCATGTTTCTAAGAAACCATCAATGTGTTTTCCAAAGGAGCTGCCCCATTTTACACTCCTGCTATGTATGTATGTATGTATATCATGTCAGCTTTCAGCTGACAACCAAAAGGTTGGCACATCAAATACACCTGGTGGTTCTGGAAGAAAGACTCGGCTTCTCCTTCATAAAGGTGACATCTAGAGAACCTAGTGTGGTGCTTCTGGAGTTGCTAATGAGTTGGGACTAGACAGCACACACATCTCTGTTGTGTTCCCACAAACAAGTTACATCCCTTGGCCACTCTAACTTGTCTTGCACTTTCTCTCTATGAGATCTGGCAGTGATATAAACCCATTGCTTTTTCACAGCTGCATACTACTCCACCCTGCCCATCAAAAGTGCTCGATTAGCTGTATCCTTTTAAGGGATTTTTTTTGCTGTTTCCAGTGTTTTGTGCCCATCCACCAAACCAGTTGCCATCATTGGCTGACTCTGACCTGTGGTGACGTCATATGTGCAGAGTTCATGGTTATCGCTTTTCAAGAGTAAATCACCAGGCCTTTCTTCCAAAGCTCTCCTGGACAAACTCAAACCTCTAACCTTTGTGGAAGCTTGTTCACCATTTATATCTACCTAGGACTCCTCCGCACCGCACCCCACTTCTCCAGATATCTGACCGGTCACTTGATCTGTCTCCCCAGGTGAGCCTGGCCAGCCTGGACTCAGAGGTTCCACTGGCCTTAGGCCTTAACCTGTCGCACCTGGGCCGGGCCGAGCACATCCTGGAGCTGCGGCCAGCACTGGAGCATCCCGCGGGCCGAGTCCGCTACGTCATCGCCCGCGGAAACGAGCAGGGATTCTTCCACATGCAGCACATCCGAGGCCTGAGTGCCCTGCAGCTGGGCCATCAGCGGCCAGCACCCGGAACCTACCGGCTGGAGGTGGTGAGCGTGGCAGGGCCCCGGCACGCCAGGCCTGCCGGAGGGCCACGGCTGGGGACCCGGACCTTGAGGCTGAAGGTAGAGCTGCAGCTGCTCTAGGTGCGGAGCTGGCCCCTCCTGCCTGGTCCCAGGCCCCTCTGCGGCCACTGCATGGGCTCTGCCACATGAGCCTCTTCCCGCGGGGTTCTCTCAGGACGCTGACGTCACTGTTCATCACCACCTTGGGTCCGAGCCCGGCCATGATAGCGGGCCTGGCATTGAGAGGGACAGTGTCAGCCACTGCACTGACACGTCAGAACCTCAGAATTCAGGAGCAAGGAAAGTCTGGTGAGCTCAGCCTCTGCCAGCCCCTGCGTCATCCCAGGGGACACCAGCCCCAGCCCCATGGGAACCCCAGTCCCTTCTTTGCTGGAGATTGCTAGAAGGCAGCTCGCACCCTCCAGTCCAGCAAAGACCAGCAAGGGCAAGAGGGCCCTGTGCTCACTGGCCCCTGGCCAGGCTCACTTTCAACCTCTGCACTGCATCTGACTCGCCCAGGGCCCCAGCAGACTTGGTGGCAGCTGGGGACAGTGGGACACTTCCTCAGGAGCAGAGGGGCCTTCCAGGTCTGGCCCAGCATTAGAAACACAGATACTACACTTTGTTCATCCCCTGGAGAGGCTGGGGTGGGGCTCTGAAGACGGTTTCATATCTGGAGCAAAGACAATAAAGTTATTTTGGGTTAAATTCATCTCCTGGTGAGTCCTCACAGTGTGGGACTGTCCTTGAGCCGGCCAGGTTCCGGAGAGCCCAGGTCAGAGTGATGTCCTGTGCTCTCCAAAGAAATGAAACTTCTGGACAGGAAGAGCTTCAGCCCTGGGCTCCAGAAGGAAGAATGCCATCTAGTGGTGGGGAGAAGGTGCTCTGTCCACCTCGCGCTGAGCACATGGTCAAGCCAGGCTGCTGGTGACCACAGGGACCCTCCTCCCTGCGCTGATGATAAGCCCGCTGCTTCCTGGTTTCATGAGGCATACGTGTCGGGTGCTGACCTGAGTGTTTCATAAATCCCTCTGATGGCCTAGTGGGTAGGGAGTTGAGCCGCCAACTCAAAGGTGGGCAGTTCGAATCCTCCAGTTGCTCCTTGAAAGAAAGATGGGCCATCTGTGCAGTTTACAGCCTCTGAAAAATCCCCTGGAGGATCAGCTGTGAGTCAGTTCCAACTCAGTGGCAACTGCCAACAACATCCATGAAGGAGCCCTTTAAGTGGTGGAATCAGAAGATGGGCAGTTCAAACCCACTCAAAGGTGCCTCCGAAGAAAGACCTGGTGATCTGCCTTGGAAAAAAATCAGACATTGGAGTATATTCCCAGTAGTGGAATTGCTGGATCAAATGGTATCTCTATTTGCAACTTCTTGAGAAAATGCCACACCACTTTCCACAGGGGTTGTACCATTTTACACTTCCACCAACAGTGAATAAGGGTTCCAGTTTCTCTACAATCTCGCCAGCATTTGTTGTTTGCTGTTCTGTTAAATTTTGCTGTTCTTACTGGGGCGAGATGATAGCTCATAGTTGTTTTGATTTGCAACTCTCTTAGAGCTAGGGATTTTGAACATTTCTTCATGTGCTTGTTAGCGATCTGAATGTCTTCTTTGGTGAAGTGTCTCTTCATATCCTGTGCCCATTTTTCAATTGGATTGTTTATCTTTTTGTGGTGCTTGAGTATTTTACAAATTCTAGATATGAGTTCCTTATCAGACATGTCATTACCAAATGCTTTTTTCCCAGTCTGTGGCTTCCCTTCTTACCCTGTTGGAGAAGTTTTTGGATATGCATAGGGGATTTGAGTCTTAGAAAGTCTCATTCATCTACTTTATCTTCTCCTGGTTGTAGGGTAAAATCAGCCATTGGAAACATGAGCACAGTTGCACGCAGGGAGTCCCCGTGAGCCAGAGCCAACTCAGGCAGCTGGCACGTCCCTGTGGTGAGGCTTGGTGGCTCAGTGCAGCCATGTCTTCCACACAGGGAAGCGGGTTCAAGTCCCAGCCCGTGCACCTCCTGGGCGCCCCCTGACCCCATCTGTCATTGGAGGCTTGTGTGTTGCTGTGAAGTTGAAAAGGTTTCAGCAGACCTTCCAGACTCAGGAAAAGAAAAAAAAACAACACAAAACCTGGCTATTTGCTCCCAAAGTTCAGCCAGCGAAGACACTGTGGAGTATGACAGCTCACCCGCAGCTGACTGTGGGGGTGCATTGTGTTCTGTTATCACCTTGGGGACCCCATGAGTCAGGGCTGAGTCGGCAGTGAATGATGGCGCACTCCTATTTTACAGGTGGGAAAACTGAGTCTTAGGTTAAGGCAATTGCCCAGGGTCTCGCCAGCACCTCTGCCTACACCACCGTGCCATCCTCCTGGCTCTGCTTAAGACCAGGGTTCACACACACCCTTCCCCTCCCGCAGGATCCCCCAGAGCCGGGGCCCGGATGCCCATCCTGACAGCATGCACTGCGTGAGTTCCCTGTCCTGGGCACGTCGCAGACAGTGACATTCTGTCTCCACAAAATCACCGTGAGACAGACGTGACCATCACCGCTCCCTCTTGGCGGGGAGAAGGTCAAGGCTCAGAGTGGATAGAATCGGATGGTGGGGTGAGACCCAGGCTTTCCTGCACCTGGGCCCCACAAGGCCCCTTGTCTGGACATCTTATTGCTTTTGCTGCTGTTGTTTTTCAACAGAATGTCTATGCCAAAACATTCACCAGTTCAACCGTTTTCACGTGTCCGGTTCAGTGACATTAGTTCATTATGTTGCTCTGCCATCACCACTTTCTTTCACCCTTTTCCAGATCGTTCCACCACCATTAACAGCAGCCCTGTGCCCTGAAGCAGTGATCCCTGCCCCATCCCACTGCCTTCTCGAACATGAATGAGCTTTGTCCTCTAGAATACCAAGCATGTTGTCATCAAGTCTCTGCCGGCTCATGGTGACCCCATGTGTGACAGAACAGAGCTGTCCCGTAGGGTGTGCCTGGCTGTGGTCTTGACGGAAGCTGATTGCTAGCCCCTAACTCAAGCCACACGCCACCCTTTAGGTTGATGGTGGGATTATGTGCTGTCAAGTCAGAACCGCCTCATGGCTGAGCCTCCCTTGGCTTTCAGAGGCTGTTAATCACACGGGAGGGGAGTGCCCATCTTTCACCCATGAGCGGTTGGTGGATTTGAACCTCTTGTCTTTGAGCTGGGAGCTCAGTTCCTTACCACTCTGCCACCAGAGCTCCCTAAGAGGGGTGATCCAGCACAAACTGTTTGCATCGTATTATTTATCTCATGTAAGTGGATCGGGGGTGAGTGTGTCAGAGACAGTGAGATTGGCACAGGATAGAACAGGGTTTAGGACTGTTGTACATACGGTCTCTATGAATCGCAGGCAACTCGACGGCACATAATAACATCTAAGTGGGTCACACAGCCCTTTGGTCGGGGATGGTGGGGTGGGGTGAGGGTGGGGTAGAGGGTTGCAAGTCCAGAGGACCCACCTCAAGCCACTGAGTGGTCTCTGGTGCCTCCTCCAAGCTCTGTCCTTGACCCGACCCTGGACGACATCTCATAGCTGTGAGGGCTTGTCCACCCATTCGTTGGCCTCAGCATGGCCCTGAGATGAAGTCAGAGCAGACATTTTATTGACAGGATACCCCGGGGACAAGCGGTGTGGCCATGGTCACCCAAGGGAAGTGTGGGGCTGAACTCAAACACAGCCTTCTAGAACTGTCCAGACTGTGAGAACAAGGGCTGGAGACCAAGGCTGGGGTTCACACAGAATCATAGACAATCCTCCAAACTGAGGTAATAACCTGAACCCTGAAATAAAACATGACAGCGATGAAAATGACATCCAACAGATGTTTATTTAAAAACCCAACCAAATGAAAAAAATTCCTCAGTCGTTCGCAACATGGCTTCAGGTGCAGCTGTATCAAGGGGTTCACTGGCTGTGGCTGGAGTCCTTCTCTCCTTCCGGAGGACAGCCTGAGAGGGGTTCTTTGGACTGACCAGCGCTTTGCAAGGGCCCAGAGGGATGCAGGTAGTTGTGGCCCTGGGTGGGTGGTGGGGACGCCTGGTGTTCTTAGACTCTGCAAGACTCACTCCCAAAGCATGAATGAGGCACCAGGGGCAGGCAACAGGCTTGAAACGAGGCCCAGCCCCTCCTTCCAGCCACCTGAGGGACCAGAGGTGGTGAGGGTAGAGGGGATACTGCTGCCACAGCGCAGGGGTTGAAGTCTTCCCTTCAGAGGGGCTGGGGCAGCTGGGGCCACAGGCTAGAGGTGGTGGAGAGAGGTCCAGCCCCTCTTGCGTAACTGATCATGGGGGTTCACAGGGTCCTGCCTGGTCCTGTAGGAGAGATGCGAGGAGGCTGGTGAGTGGTGTGGATCAGAGCTGCATCTATCCCCGTACCCAGCATCTCATCCCAGCCCTTCCCAAAACCCCTCCTGGTTGGACGCCTGGGTCAGGGTGGTGGACACCCACACCTGCGACTCCAGCACCTGAGCCTCGCTGGTCCTCTGACCCCTTCAGGGATCAACCTAAGCCCTCATTCCCCAGCAGAGGTGGCAGATGCACAGGGGGGCACAGGACCGAGCCTACTTGCCTAGATCAGCTGCTGGCAGTCATGTTCCACTTGCTCTTTCTGGAGAAGTCGCCATACTTGGAGGCTGGGAGCTGGGAGGGTCCAGACTTCACATTCTTCACCTTATGGTGAGAGTCTGGCGGAGAGATGGAGGCAAGCCAGTCAGGGCTCCAGCAAGCCTTCTGAGCCCCCGGATCCCGCAGGACCTGAGACCACCTTGCCAGTACTAGCTGCATTTCCCACTTGCTTGAGTTTCCAACCCACAATGGACAGTGCCCTGGCTGGAGGGGCTGGACGACGAAGGGGCCCAGTCAGCTGGTCTTTCACCCAGACCCCCACTCGCCAGCAACTGGGATAAAGGATATGGGGTGGAGGCAGCTGCTGGCAGGCTGAGGAGCGCAAGGGCCCATGGGCTGGTGGCCTGCAGTCTCGCTCACCAAGGAGGGCACTCCAGGGGCCACCATGGTGCTTTGAGAGTTTCTTCCGGACCTCCAGGAGTCTCATGGCATCCTTCACCCCATTATCTTTCGGGTCCCCACACACCACTCTCCGGGGTAAGACGAAACTGTGACAGAATTGGAGGAGGGTGCAGGTTAGCACGTGGCTAGCGTGGGAGGGTGGTGCCGGATGATGGAAGCACCCCCAGCGGCCCCGAGGGCCCACTCACATGACTGCGCGCAGATTGCAGCTCCCGCTCACCTCCTGGATCCGGTAACTCCTGGCGCGCCGCCGGAGCCAGGAGAACCCGATGTTGGTGTTGTAAGCCAGGCAGCAGTCTTCAAAGCCACCTGCAACCACACACAGCACCCCACTCGCGTCAGTGTGTGTGCGCACGCGCATGTGCACGTGTGCATACCGTGGAGGGGGGAGAGGTGCAAACAGGGACATCCATGCACAAGGTCACGCTCAGGTGCACCGTGGTAGAGACGCACCAAGCACCTGCCAAGACCCTCCCTGGCCTGGCAGGGGCAGCGGGCATCCCGACAATAAAGAAGTCGCCAGCTGGCAGACTGGAGAGGCCTCTGGTCCCAGGTAGAAACAGCTTGAGGTCACCAAGTGAATGGGAGACCAAGCCTGCTTCAGTCCCTATTTGGGAAGAAGGGCAGGAGACGTAGGTGCAAAGGCCACCTTGCTGTTCCTGGTTCCACCTCATGAGACCCACGTGTGACAGCGCAGACCCGCCCCCTATGGCTTTCTGCATAATGATCTTTGCAGAAGCAGCTTGCCAGGTCTTTGTTCCGTGGTACCACTAAGTGTCCTTGAACCATCAACAAACAATTTGTGCCAACCCAGAGCCCCTGAAAAGTGCCCAATGCCTAGATAAACATAGTGACTAGCTGGACACAGGGTGACCTTCAGTGTGCCCAGGCTTGTGGGGACCTGGGGAAGAGGATTGATGTTGGGCAGGTGAGAGCAGGGGTAGAGGCCTGTCTTCCCAGGTCCCCTGCAACCTGCCTCTCTGCTGAATAACACCCCTCTGGGGCCACTTGTGGGACAGCCCAGCAGGGAGGTGGTAGGGGGACTGAAGGCAAGGTACCTGTACCCCCAGCCTTCACCCTGGATTGCAAGGGGGCAGTGGGGTGAGGGGACACTGGACTGCAGAGCTGATGGCAGTGTGAGATGGCTCGGGAACAAGGCAAGCACAGGCTGACTCTTGCTTACTTAGTGATCACCAGTGAACAGTGATGTGTTTCCCCACCAAGTCAAAGATCCTGCCTCGGGGTCTGGCTGACATCTGTCGCTCTCCTAACCCCACAGCGCCCTGCTGCAGAGTCAAAGCCTCTTCATGGTTATAATCCCAAACACTCAAACTCAGTGCTGTCAAGGCAAAAGGGGCTCATAGCTGACCCTCCAGTGGGCTCTAGAGGCTGCAAATCACACAGGAGATAGCCTTTCTCCCTCAGAGTCTTGAAACTGGTGGATTCAAAGAGCAGGAATGGTCCACCTTTGGGTTTTAACTCAACTCCCCGCAGCTGACACCCCAGAGCTCCCTACCAGCAAGTGCTCCCTGCACGGTAAGCGCTGGCCGCTGGCCTCTGCCTGCTAAGCTGTCGTGACCACTTTCACATGCTAATGTGGTCACTTCCATGAGAAACTGTTCACTGTAGATTAGCAAACACCAGTAAACCCAAGTTCACCTTGCTCCTTGGATAATCTGCCCCTGACCTTTGGACAGTGCTAGAAGCTGGGCCACTTTCTTCAAGATCAAAGGGCCAACTCTGATAGCAGGATGAGAGGAACACAACCCAGGCTGTCCCGAGCAAAGGCTACCTCTGCCCGGGTGGGGGTTGGGGGTGGCTTGGGGCCCTCTAACCCAGGGAAGCGGCCGGTGGGGCCTGGTGCTGGCCAGGGGCCCTGTGTTGCCAGCAGTGGGATGCAGAAATTTCCCCAGGGCCCAGGAATCAATGGGACATAGAAGCTGGGAGTTCCTGTCATGAAGTCTTCATTCACACCTTCAATGTTTTGGCAACACTAATGTGATCATTGCTGTTGTCCAGTCCTAGGCAGAGAGTTTGACAGGAACCAGCTTATTTGGACTTTGATAAGAATGAAGATTCTGATTTTGCAGATGAGGAAACTGAGGCTTATGGAGGTTTAAAAGGTTTATGTGTAGTGAGGGAAGGCTGGGGTTGGAATTTGCCCCGCTGCTCTCCAGGGTTGTTGTTGTTGTTAAGTGCCGTGGAGTCGTAGATGACTCATAGCGACCCTATGAACTGAAGACCTGAACACTTGTATAACTTTTGTCCTTTCTCCAGGTTCATAGGGTTTCCGGAGACAAGCTATTATGGAAGTGGATGCCACTCCTGCTTCCAAGCCTGTTTTAATCAGGAAGCTCCCCCACTGTCCACCATGGGTGGCCATTAATGCATTAGACACATCAGTGTCACAGTGTTTAGCATCACAGCAACCACGAGTTACCTCTGTACAGCAAACGGACAGACCAGTGCTGTACCATTTAGAAGAACATTTGACAAAAAACAATTTAAACCAGGCCTGAGGGCCCTAATGGGTTTTTTAATAGGAGGCTTTATCACACTGTCTCACTCCCCTTAGCAAATCAACATTGCACCCTAATGCTCACCAATCCCAGCCAACAAGCTACTATAGAACCCGACTCCTGCAGACAACTTTCAAACTGGATTCCAGCCCCTGCTCTCCACGGTAATGGCCTCTAATTCCAGCCCTGGCTCTGCAGGGTGAGATGCGACCACGTGTGACTAGAGGTGAGGTGTCAAGGCACAGCTGTGGGCCACGTTGTGTCCCCATGATCCCTGGGCCATCTGAAGTCCCCTTAGGTCTTGCTTTGTAGACTTTGGAGGTGACATGGGTGGAGCATATGAAACGGACACTCAGGTCCATCTACTGTTCTAGAAGCACCCCAGCTTGCACCCCCTTGCAGATTGACAAAGGAAGGGCCCACAAAGAATTCACTGGAGGGGGGATGCAGACAAGGTCAATGGTAGTACCTTGGGTGTAGACGGCAGGAAGCATGGCCCCCACAAAGCAGGTGACCAGGCAGGCCAGGAGCCACGGCTTCATGATGTAGAAGAGTCTGTCTGTCTGTCTCTCTCTCTCTCTCTCTGAGTGCTTCGAAGGGTCCCACAGCCTCCTGCAGAGTGAGACGGTATGAGTCCCCTGGAGGAAAGCATCAAGCTGGCAGCGCCCTCATCTCTCCCCAGGCCGTGGTGAGCCAGCATGGGGACACACAGGCCAGGGTGGTCCTGCAGCCACTCATGGCCCTGCTTGGGGAGAAACTCACCTGCTGAACCCCCTAAAACAGATGCTGATGCCGCACCCGCTGGGGTGTCTGTAACTTGCTGAAGCGTCTGCAAGCTCTCCAGGTGCGTGCTGAGTGAGCAAGCTGGGCTTCTTCCTTATAAACGAAGGTCAACCCAGCTACCTGTCCTCCCTCCTCCCCCCATCCCCACCCTGCCCCTCCTCTTTTCAGATCCCTTTCCAGCTCCTCTCTCCAATATCAGGGTGCACCTGGAAGGCCACGAGGGCAGAAGCAAAGGGCAGGGCAGGAAAACAACCTGACTCCCTAATGAGCTGTGAGGACAGGGGACAGGCAAGGGGTTCTCTGAGTGGGGTGAGGCAAACAGGCACAGATGGGCCCCAGCAAGCAGACTTTGGAACCCTCTGCACCTGCACCCCTGTCCCAGCCTTGTCAGACAGCACCCCCACTTTCTCCCCAAAGGGCCCCAGCTCCTCCCTACCCTTCTCCATGCAGGAACTTCAGGCTGCCTACGTCCGGGAGGGGCATCTCCACTCCCCACCCACAAGCCAGGTCCTTGCAGACTTTGAATGACTTATTACTGCCCTGTAGACCCAGGTTTTGAGACTAGAGTTTGACAGGGCCACTAGTAGTTGAATAATTGACAAGGACTGATTGTGAATGGATACTGTCAAGCTGTTTCTGACTCTAGTGAATCCATAGGGAGCTCTGGTGGCCCAGTGGTGAGGAGTTATGCTGGTGACCCAAAGGTACACAGTTTGAATCCACCAGATTCTCCGTGGGAGAAAGACAGGCAATCTCAATGGTATACAACAGTAACAATAACAACAACAACAACAGTGAGCCCTTGAGACAGAGTAGAACTGTCCCACAGGGTTTCCTAGGCTGTCATTTTTGTGAGAGTGTGGGTGGCCTAGTGGGAATGAATTGTACTACCAACCCTAAGGTGGTGGTTGTTGTTGTTGTTATGTGCCGTCGAGTCGTTTCCGACTCATAGCGACCCTATGCACAACAGCCCTAAACCCTGCTCTATCCTGTGCCAACCGCACCGCCTCTGACACACCCATCCCGATTACCCCAGTCACCGAGTCAATCCATCTCAAGGAGGGTCTTCCCCTCCTGCGTTGTCCCTCAACCCTCCCAAGCATGATGTCCCTCTCCAAGGACCCGTCCCTCCTGGCAACATGTCCAAAGTATGTCAGATGAAGCCCCAGAATCCTTGCCTCCAAGGAGTAGCTTGGTTTAATCCTCTCTAAGATAAATCTGTTTGTTTTCCTGGTAGTCCAGGGTACATTCAGTACCCTTCTCCAGCACCACAGCTCAAAAGCATCCACTCTCCTTCTGTCCTCCCTAGTCATTGTCCAACTCTCTGATGCATAACAAGCGATTGCAAATACCATGGTCTGTATCAGGCGCACCTTAGTCTCCAGAGAGACACTGTTGCTCCTGAGTACCTTAGAGAGGTCCCTAACAGCAGACTTTCCCATCGCGATATGCTTTTTTATTTCCTGACTGCTGGTGCCAAGAGTGTTGACTGTGGAGTCGAGCAAACTGAAGCTGTGAACACTCTCAATCTCTTCGTCATCCATCCTGATGCTGCCAATTGGTCCAGTGGTGAGAATCTTTGTCTTCTTGACATTGAGCCTTAGTCCATACTGAAGGCTGCAGTCCTTGACCCTTCGGAGCAAGTGCATGAGGTCCTCCTACGTAGTTCAAATCCAGATGCTCCAAGGGAGAAAGATGGGCAGGGCAATCAATTCCCACACAACATACATACAGCCTCTGCAAACACTTTAGTGGGTCAGCGATGGGTCAGCTCCCACTTGACCGCACACAACAATTTCTGTGGGAGATTTCCAAATTTGCAGGTCTTCCTCACAAGGATATGTTGATGGGTACCTTTCGGCTGCCAGCCCTCAGGCTAGCAGTCCAGTGCTTGACCACTGTATCACCAGAGGTCCCGCAGGGGTCGTTGTATCATTGGGTGCATTGAGTAGACTTCAATTCATGTAGCCCTGTGCATACAGAGGAAGCAGGGCCCAGTGCCGGGCTATCTTCACAATTGCTGGGACATGTGGGCCCATTATTGCAGTCACCGTGTCACTTCATCTCCTTGAGGGTCTCCTTTTTCTTCACGGGCCATTTCCTTGACCAGGAGTGATGGCCTTCTCCAGGGTCGGGTCTCTCCAGGTAACACGCCCTAAGCAAATCAGATCAAGTCTCGCTAGGCATTCTTGTTTCTCTTTTAAAGGGATATATGATTAGATATTAGACGGCACATAACAACAACAACAATTATTGTTGTTATGACAGGAGTCCAGAACGAAGGTAGCATAGTGGAATGGACTTGAGGGGAGGGATTGAATAACAATGAAAGAATTTTTTCTTTTACTTTTCAAAAAAAAGGAGGGAGGGGTGAGCAGGGAGAAAAGTGCAACAATGAATGAATGGAAATTCAAAGTCTCTGTAAACTTTCATGAAAATAAATTTAAAATAAAATAAAGAGCTCTCTGAATGCATGTCTTTTGAGAAAGATTGCTTTGTTCTTCTGACAGTCCATTCCATATTCAGTCCCAACGCCACAATTCAAAGGCATCATTTCCTCTTCAACCATCCTTATCCATTGTCCAACTTCATGTACATATGAGAATGGGAAAGACATATGGGAAATGCCATGGCTGAGGTCAAGGGCACCTTGAAAAGACCATTTGTAGAACATTTGCCCTTTGCACTGTGACAGCTGATTTCTTAACTGCCGCTTCCGTGGGTGTTGATTGTGGAAGACAGGACAGTGAATTCCTGGACAATGTTAGTATTTTCTTCATTTGTCATGTTGTCACTTATCTGTCCGGGGTTGTGAGGACTTCTGTTTTGTGCTGAAGTGTATTCTGTAGTGAAAGTTTCCGTCTTAGAGCTTCGTCAGCAAATGCTGCAACTGTTGTGTTGGGTTGGTTTTTTTTTTTTTTTTCAACCAGCAAGGGTGTGTGTGTCATCTGTAGATTGCAGATGGTTAATGAGTTTTCCTACCATCCTGATCTCATTTTCTTCACAGTCCAGCTTCTTGGATTATTGCTCAGCATACAGGTTGAAAAGTATGATGGAAGGATAAAGCCCTAACACACACCTTTTCTGATTTTAAACCAGATTATATCCCCTTGTTCTGTAATTCGTGGTTGTTGTGATGCTAAACACTGTGACACTGATGTGTCAAATGTGATAATGATTACTGATAGTGAACACTGTTTGGTGGAGCTCCCAGATTAAAACAGGTTTGGAAGCAGGAGTGCCGTCCACCTCTGAAATAGCTTGCCTCCAAAACTCTATGAACATAGAGAAACGATCAGTTATGCAAGTGTTCAGGTCTTTCGTCCATAGGGTCACTATGCATTGTCTATGACTCAACGGCACTTAACAACAACTGTTGCAAAGACAGACTTTTTCTTGGTCTACAAACAGGTTCTACATAAGCACAATTTAATGTTCTGGAACTTCCACTCTTCATAACATTATTAATACCTTATTCTAATGCACGCAGTCAAGTGCTTTTGCATAGTTAAGAAAACACAAAGTGAACATCTCTCTGGTATCCTCTGCTTTCAGTCGATGTCCATCTAACATTAATAATGAGATCCCTTCTCCCACCTTCTCCTGTGAATCTAGCTTGAATTTCTGGTGGTTCCCTGTCATAAACTGCTCCAGTCACTTTTTTAAAAATTTTATTTTATTAATGTTAATGATCCAGTCACTTTTAAATTATCTTCAACAAGATTTTATTTATGTGTGATACAAACTATATTGTCCTATAATTTCTGCATCATGTTGGATCACATTTCTTTTGAATAATCACAGCCCAGTTTGCCAAATATCGTGTCACTGACGAGCGAGCGCATCCAAGGCTGCATCTCGGCTGATATTCAGTAGTTCAGCTTTGGTTTTCACCAACTCCTTCATGACGGTTTGGACTGTTCCCTTCAGTATCTTTGGTCCCCAATCATTTGCTATCTTCTGACGTGACTGAGGACCAACCAGATAATTTTGGTACAGTCCCTCGGTGTATTCTTCCCATCTTCTTTCTAGGGTTCCTGTGTCATTCAGTATTTTGCCTATAGAATCCTTCAGTCTTACAACTCAAAGCTTTTCTTCAGTTCCCTCAGTTTGAGAAAAGTCAAGTGTGTTCATCTCTCTTGGTTTTCTAACTCCAGCTCCTCTTACATTTCATTGTAATACTTTGCTTTGACTTATGGAGCTGCCCTGGGAAATCTTTTCAACTCTCTTACTTCATAATTTCTTCCACTCACTTTTTTTTTTACTTTCTACCCTATAATCAAAAGATACTTTACTAATCCCATCATGAAAAATCACTGCAACAGAGATTGGAAATAAGAATAGATCCCTGGGACTAATGCACTTTCTATGGAGGCAGATCATCTATGAGAAGCCTGTTCATAAAGAATATCTAAGTCACAAATGACCAAGTAGAGATTCTTAACAAGTGGTGTAGGGAAGTGAATTTTCAATGCAGTCAGACTACGGTCTATTGCTCTTACCATCTTTTTTTTAATA